AAGTATATTATTGCTTATTTAACAAATAAAACAGCTTTTTTCGTGCTCCATTCAGTAATACAGCACACAGAAAGTGGTATGAGCAGGAAAGAAGAGTAAGGAGAAAGATGGTCACAGGATCTAGCAGCACTTTGCGCACACAGATGGCGTCAGCACTGTGCTCCGTTCACTAATAATGCACAGTTTTTCAACCAATGAGATATAATAAAAATTGATGATTAATATTAATTGCATATACAAATATTCATTTAAACATCCAGCCAGATGGCATTATGATGCCACAGACAATGAATAATTTCTTAAGCTATGACATTATTAAGGATATAGTTTCCAGATTAATTATCAAGTCAAGTGTACGCCAAGGAGCTAATGAAAGACTTAGAGATTGAAGGTTGAAATACTACCTTCATCTGCTTAAAATCATGTCAAATGGGAATATGCTGTGAGTTAAATAAAAATAGTGCTTTTCACCATTAAAACCTATTGAATCCTGCAGTTAATTATCACTTGAAAGGCTTCCTGAGTGGGCAAAACAGTTGATTCTGCATAATTAAAACAAAATTTAGAACCATAGGATTTTCCAATCAGCATATAATCTTTCAACACTGTTATCTTTTAATTGCAATATTTCTACAGACTGATATTTTTATCTGAAACTTTATCTCTTGAATACTTAAGCTTCCTTTGGGAAGTCCACTCAAGGGTTTTTTGGCCTACAGGAAATAATGGTGACCTGCTTTAATTTGGTGATAGCTAGCATCGATCTCCCTCAGAGATGAGAAGTCAAAATTACAAACTTAATGTAGTAAAGAACTTGTGGTTTAAAACATGGTGCAAAGACCCATGCAGGATGAATTATGGAGTTTGATGAGAGTTGCTCAGAGCAACTGTCAAGCATGGGTTAGCTAGGGTTGCTTGACTTAGTTACGGTGGACATGCAGAGATTGCATCAATGCAGTACCGCAAAAAGGACTGACAAATGCATTTTTAAAATTTTAATATGTCCCAGGAAAAACTTTACTTGTGTTGATATGGGATTCTTAAATATAGAGTGTTACCCACAAAAAAATGCTTTCGAATCTGAGCAGTTATGTTGGTCTCAGAACCTGCATTTCTAAGTCCTAGTCCAATCCCTGATATGCACAAATTCAAATTCTTAAAATGATTAGAAACAACTTTCTTAATATAATCCTTTACCTTGGGGTAATGTTTTCCCATTTCAGTCCACATGCCATTCTCTTGAGAAATTATAAGATCCTTTACTTGGTTGCATTCACATTCATGTGTTTTCTCTCACAACCGTTAAACAAAGAAATGATACTCTAGGGAATGATACACTATTTCAGATGGGAAAACATTACACCCAATTACAAGGTAAAGAGGTAGTATATTTCATAATTCAATGAGATGAACATCTTTCTTTGATGGCCATAACATTCCTAAAATTACAGAACTAAGAAGCCAGGAAATTCTTCGTCAATTTAATATTGTCATAAAAAGGTCAGGTATGTCATACCAAAAACCTAATAAAAATTTATATTAAATATATACTAATAAAGCCTTTTTTTTTTTAATTTATCAAATTCCATTTGGTAAGAACTTCTGTTTCAACTAATGCCACAACCAAAATTCCCAAATACCTAAATGCCAAGAAAAAAGATCTTGACTCATGACAGCTAGCTTCATTGATGCAGTACATTCATGTCAAGCAATAATTAAGTTTTTAGTAACTTTATTATATCTCGATAAATAAATAAGGGGTTTGCTAATTAATCGGCTTACATGATAGTGGTAGTGATTACTATCACTGGTATTTTTTTGATTAAACAGAAAATATTTGATTGACAACCAATTAATGACAACCAATTAATGAATAGCTATGAAATATACTGATGAACTATTGATGAGAAAAATGCATATTAATAAAAACATTATAAAGCAATGTATAAAACATTATTGCTCCCTGGGTATCTATTTTTGGCATATATCAGGTACTATATTCCAATAAATATAATTTTGGAATTTTAAAATGATATTTGCACATATAGTGTAATGATAAAATCATAACTGTCCGAGTTCTTTTATGCAACAAATAAGACTATGTGTAGCACTGACAAACGAAAAATTAGATACAGAATATTGTATTTATCTTGTGATTTAAAAAATAGCTGTGCTCCTTATAATAAACTTTTGGCATACGTTGTTAACTCTAATCTTTGTATCTAAATGCAAGGGTAAATGTTGCCAAAAACTTGATAATGTAAGTCAAGCCTTTTATTATAGTCAAGATGTAAGCTATGACTTATGATTTGGTTAATATAATGAACATGGATACTATTTTTTACTAAAAATGAGAAAACTATATTTGTGAAAATTTTAAAAATACAAAGGAAGCAAACCATGATCTGGTTAAATAGACTGATACATGTATGTTAGTGTAGCCCTGGGGGCTTTCATAGATAGGATCATGACACATAACAAGGTATTGACCCTAGAAACCATAGCTCTACAGACATCAAAGGATACCCTGTGAAAGATATTGATAATAGTGCTGACAGGATAGCATTTTACATTGAAGAGCTGAATAACAAATGTAGAAAGTATTAACCTTTCTTACTATATAATGAAGGATCTAATACAGCATTAGACATGAATTGAAAAAGAATGAAATTGTAACAAACCACTCCTGTGATTCATTATCAATTGAGATTAATGGTAAAGCCTATTTTCAATAATCAAATTAAGTTGGTATGTTACCTTCAACTTTGTGCTTTTTTATACAGGCATGTTGTTTATGACTGGTATTTTTTTAATGCTAAATGATTATTAAAATTATATCAGTCTTGTTTTGGTAGTTCTGATAGCTGCCATCTTACATAAATGAAACACTTTCACTAGATAGAAAAATGTACCTTCAAATCTCACCTTCAGATTAATAAAAACCAGATGTCTGACTCAGGTTAACTTCACCCTTTAGAAACACTTTGTCATGATAAAATACAGAACAAAACTAAGGTTTCCAAACTAAACACTTAATTTAGAGTGCGATCGTGATAAAGAATCAAATCTCATTAACCATCTAGCATGGAATCCTGGCATAACTCCTAAGGAAATAGTTTATTAATCATCAAATAATTGGCTTTGGAGAGATACACCCCTACAAGGGTAGCACATATGTTTTATTCATTATCCTATACTAAATGTCCACTGATCTGTTAGATTAATAGTACCGCTTATGGTAAAGGCTTATCTTTTGCTGGACTTTACAGCTATGCAGATGTCTAGGACCGCATTCTTAAAACAAATTCTCAAAATGACTCATTCCAATGAGACCTCCAAAGAAAGAAAGAACTTACAGAACATATTTTACTATACATAGTGGCAGGCAATAATAAGCAACTGCATGCATGAAACTCAGTTCATACTACAGTTAAATACTAGGGAAAGCACAAGATAAGGATCAGAATTTTAGTGCTTCTGTTCATGTCAAAGAGAAACCTAGGCTTTACTTTTTCATAGCACAGCTTATCACTTCAAAAAAAAGCCAATGGTTAGTATTTGTTGATCAATATTAGTACTATATCTAAAGCATTGTAACAAAGGGGTCTCAGTAACTGTCTGGATACAGGACTTTTCATTTGAAAACAAGCATATATGAGGCAAGGTTGTCAACGACCAAAGTTTCTTAGAGAAACTGAGCCCAGTTTAATTAGCAGTGCTGAAAGGATGAGATTGTTTATACAAGTTATACAAGAGGGTTAAAGTGAAGTAAAATAAAAATTTATTTTTTCAGGAAAGAGTTTCTATCATCTCCTGGTTCTTCTAAATGACACTCTTTCATGAATGAGTTCTTAAATTGTAATGGAATTTTTTCTCGTTAAAAAAAAAGTCAACATGTTAGTACATGCGATGACTCAGATTCCACTGGAGATCTGATATGCTGTACACTGTATTTAGTGAGTGTCTGGCACAACATAATGGAAGGACATTACATATCCAAAAAAACAACAACAAATCCTTCATCAAACTGCATTAAAGATCGAAATACAGATATTCTTATCTTGTTGTTAATCAAGAATTTGTCAATAAAGAGAAAAACATTGATTCGCAGCTGATATCGAAATTAGTAACATTGCATATTGAGTAATATCAAATGTAACGCTCATCCGTGAAAATACAACTGGCTTTCGTAGCAAGCCACGAATGCGTAGACTGATTTCTTAAATAAATAATCCTGATCCGATCTACAGGTCCTTCTTGGATTATTCTGTTTATAGAGACCTCGACTCACTTGATATAATCGAATAATCCGACACACAGTGCTTTGAGATACGAGTGTGAATATTCTAAAACAATTATGACACTTTGGTGTCCTTTTGTTTAAGCAACTCGAGGCATTTTCTGATTTCTGACTAAATAAAAGCTCCAACACTTCTTTCTCCAGAGGTCAACAATGAATAAACCAGGCGTAAAAGCAGTCTGTCCTTGAAAGCAAAGTGTTTGCTTTGGGTTATTGGATAAATCGGTGAAGAAAGAAATTTCTTTATAGATATGTTTATTCTAGGTTTCTTGTCTTAACAGTACGATACCAAAACAACAGCAAAAATCCAAGGAATGTTTTCTCTTTCGGCTCTCCAGGGTACTTCAAAACTTTTAAAAGTCAAAGACAATTAAATTTTACTGTATCCTTCAGTTTTATTTTTCTCGACGTCAAAATATATAAAATGAAGAAAGACGTCGAACCGTGAACTATTTTGAGTGAATACTAATTGCGAAATTACTGATAGATGATATCCCGGGGAAATCCACTTCAAAAGCGGTACTTGAATATAAATAAAGACGATTAAAAAAACTATAACTGGGAGGTAAGGGAGAAAAAGTAAAGCTTCACTATGAGTAGTTTAGTGTATAAACTCATCTCTGTCGCTTTGTACAGCATTACATATCACGTTCGTATTGGGTTGCCTACGTGACAGAAAACAGCCCGAGGTCGGTCTTACCTTGGGCCATAGTGGCTGAAGTTTTCCAGCGATCTTCCCATCTTCTAGAGCTCTTTCGAAGTCCAAAATTCGTATACAAGCAGCCGATCTATTGCCGTATAAGACATGATTATTAGGATCTAGTTCGATAGCTTGGGTGTAGAGATCAACGGCCTGTCTGAAATCACCACGGGAACAAGCTGCTCCTGCGAGTTTGGCTTTTTCCTGAAGAACTGGACGGCAATTTGGAGCTGTTAAATCGACCTATTTTAAAAAAAATTATCACTGAATATACCAAACCCTTAAAATCGACTTCTTAAAATCCTAATTCAGCTTCAAGCAGATGAGGAAGCTTAAGGGCATGACATAGGTATACGTTTTTGGGACCCTCGCGAAGTTGATGAGTTCGCAACGTAGAGTGAAATTCATAATAAGTGTATAGTTTACAAAAACATAATGAATTCCTCATTTTAAAATTCATAAAACGTATAAAAAAACGAAATCGGGTAACTATAAACATTGCAGAAACCAAGAACAACCATCAAATGATCAGTAGATAGGAGAAAAGGAGTCGTAAAGTTTATCAATATGAACAACAAATTTGGCCGAGTAATGACGCTAGGAATGCGAGATCGTTCAAATCACTTACGCTGCTCTCTCTAAAAGTTGACGGTTCAGCCATTTAGCCTGCTCTCTGGCAAGGCGAAACTATTAAAGATCTTCCCTGAGCTATTTTCCAATGCATCGGAGATCACTAAAAATAGTTTGATGGAGTCCATTATTGGAGACCCTGCGAAGAACTCCTGGAGTTGTCATCCATGTTGTAACAAATTTGTATGCAAACATTAGTTCAGCCCCCTATGTGACGTCACACCGATAACTGACACTTTTCCTGGCCGCAATCGCACTTATAATTCTTGTTTTGTTTTCCATTTCTTTCTCTTTCCTTTCTCTTTTATGTGGGAAATACCCCCCCCCCTAAAAAAAACTTTTTTTACAATCATAGCAGTTGCTCCTTCAAAAAAAAAACCAGATGATGAAATAAGAATATTAGAATGGAAGAAGAAAAGGAAAATAAGATAATAGAATAAATAATAGAATATAATGAAATAGAACAAAGTAGATTAGAGTGGAATAAATTAGAGCCGTGAAAATAGACTGGAATAGAGAGGAATGGAATGGAATGAATGGAAAGGAATGGAATGAATGGAATGAATGCGGTAATGGAATAGAATGAAATAGAATGCATAAGAGGAATGAAACGAATAAAAAGAAATAGAATAGTATCGAATACGAGACAAAATGATAAGGAAAGAAGAAGAATAAACTGTTCTTGCAGAGCAAGGCCACAAAACTGATTTTCCATTTCTTACATGGGTTACCTGTGGTATAGTTGTCAAGGGGGGTGGTACAGGTGACGGTGAGTCTGCAGTTCTTTGTCAGTCGGTCAAGTAACCAGTAGACTTGGAAATATTTTGACAGCCAAGAATAGAAAAATATGTACCAGTATGTCCTTCCAGTCGTCTTACCTCTAGTAGGAGGCTATATTTTGAGTTCAGCGATATTATTTTACCGTCCTGAGCTTATTCATACGAAGAAAAAGACAAAATTTCGATGTCGGCATATCAGTCATCGCGGAGGTACTCGTTTCGAAAACGTCTTCATATTTATTCCTTTTCTTTGGATTTTCATAAGGCTGCAAACAGCAAATAAGCTATTTGCGAAGATACTAGGGATTTGAAAGGCGTTATGAATGGGTACTGGATAAAACATTGCCCTTTTATACGCAAGTATTTATGTGACGATACCCTTTAGTACTTCCAGCTTTCGACCTTTGGGACACATCTCATTAATAATTTTTTGATATATTTTAAAACTTAATTGACTTTGTTGCAGGAGCAGGCGAAAATCGTGAAAATACCATGACAGCATTCCGACAGTAAGTAATAATGGGAAAAACTCATGACCCTCTCAAAGCTTTTGACTCAAATTTCTTCCCAAGGCTGTTCTACTATATACCCTCCTCTCCCTACCCCTCATGGTTAATAATGTGGCACTATTTGGATTTGTATAATTAATTTTGTTTGACTCAAATTTTAACTCTGTATTTGATGCCAACCCCCCCCCCCCCTTCCCCCATAGGATAAAATTAATGTAGCAATTGCAATATAGAGATTTGTGTAAACATTTTTATATTCAAATTGACTAACAGCATTTTTTCTCTCCTCTCATCCAGTTGTTCTGAAATAGTGACGTAGAAATGACGTCACTGCAAAACTGAGATTGTCATAAAGCTTGAAAAACTTGACCATTGAAAAATAAAAAATATATAACTAATTTCATATTGTGCCATTATTATTATTTAGCGACATTATTTTTCTATTTGGTAGCTTGCAAATCCATAATTTCAAGAGAAAAAATGACACCTCAGTTTTCTAATTCTCCCAATTCTGATTGACTAATGTGTTTTCTCAGATCAGCTGGATAAGGATTGATAGCAACAGCGAGACTTATATGAAACCTTTTTTTGTGTCTGTTTTGCTATGAACCCCCCCCCCCCCTCACCCATAGGATTATTGTGACAAATTTGAGTTTTTTTATCAATGTTTTTCAGTGCCATAGAGAATGGAAGTGAGATGTTAGAAATCGACTTGCAATTAACTGCAGACAATCAAGTTGTAGTTTGTCATGATGATAATTTGTTGAGAGTGGCAGGTTTAGATTGCAATGTTTCTAAACTCAATTATCAGGTAAAAGTATAGAGTCAATATTGATATCTCCCCCCCCCCCCACCCCCATCAAAATCTCCTTTTGATTGGATGACCGCATGTTATATGGCCAACATCACAATGTTTTAACTTCCAAAATGTTAACCACCCTAAAGATAAAATTATACTTTTATTAATAAATATCTAAAAAATATTTTAGGACCTTCCACCGTTGATGAGAAGAATCCCTATACAGTTTCATCCAGGTAATTAATAAAGTTAGCCACTTACTGTGTGGACACACTTACCAGGAACCACATGACCAATCAGATAACAATAAACTAAAAAGAGATTGAAGTGAGAATAGTGTTAGCCAATCAGATTATCAATAATGTTCTTATGCTTGCTCTTATTATATCAATGGGCTATCTGATTGGCTGGTTCAAGATATTTAACTAAATGTCACAATATGATCAGTTAATGATCCTGGGGGGAGGGGACTCTGGGAAAAAAGTACCGGGGATTATCGTCGAAAATTTTCAAAAAGACCCCTAAAAGATACCAGAACTCTTTAAAAAGGGCATGGCAGAATGATTTTTAACCCCTAAGAGATACCACAACAAATAATATTAAATTTTATAAGCCATATGGATGTGCGTTTCCCTCCTTTTCCAACACCCTAAGAGATACCATAAAATGCTGACTTTCAAAAATTTGCATTTAATACCCTAAAAGATACCAAATCATGAATTTTTACCCCTAAGAGATATGTCGAGCATCCTGGTACTTTTTTCCCAGAGTCGACCCACTCAGTTTAATGATAGTAATCTATCAAAGGTTGGAGTATCTGTTGTATCTGAGAGCTTGGTTGGTGTGCACCACTAATGATCAGTATGTGAGTAAAGTTGTTTTCTTACCAAATTTCCTTATGTTTTATACTCTCAGGTGAAATATGCAGTCCAAAAAATGATGATAGGCAAATTCCTTTGTTGTCCAGTGTATTTGAAGCATTCCCAGATATACCAATCAATATAGACATCAAATTTAACTCTGATGAACTAATTGAAAAGGTAATAAGAATGTTTCTTTCTTCAATTTCTATGGATTCTGTGGTTACCATAGCAATGTTCTGTTGGTTCATTTCAAATCACAATCATAAGATTAATAATTGTTTGTTACTAATAGCTGTACATGAAAAGTTAAACAAACAATGCTTAGTTCCAGAAAATATCCATACCCATATCCATAAAAGGAGCCCCCTACACCCAAGAACTTCCAATTTTCTATTTTTTGCATATAAACTCTGTAGTTTTGTTCATTCTATGACCCCCTTCCCTCCAGAATTTCCAATTTCCTCCATGGTATAGGGGTATGGATATTTTCTGGAACAATCTTATCTCAAGGAAAAAATACATTGAGTTACATTTGTGTGAGATTTCTTTTGATCTGAAGACGAATGTGTTTTATTCAACAGACAAATCAGCTTATATGTGAATACAACAGGGAACATCTCTGTGCATGGGGAAACGTCAACAGTGATATCACTGAAAGATGTCACAAACATGCAAGTATTTCAAAAACAGCCTTGAGCTTTAAAGACATCATACAGGGAGGTGGGGGTTAAAAACAAGCGCTACAGTAGGTTGCATGATCTTGAACTGATTAAAAGAGGAGAGATGTCTCTTAACTGTGCTGCATACTGTACCGAGAACACCAACTACAAGTTTTTGAAAAGTTCTCTTTAAAATCCTTCTTTTTAATGCCAACCAATTTATGTTTAGGCACTTTTAAAACCAAAAATATGTATTTTTGTACAAATTCTAATGATTAAGTGTTTAATCTCAATTGGCTAATTTGTATAAAAATTCATTCGGATGGCCTTAATAATAGGCTTTATTTCCAGAGGGTAAACACAAGACAGTAGTTAAAAAACACTGATGACTCTTTGGCCCTCTGTGGCCCTCTGTGGTTCTCGTAGTTGCACTGTAAATCTTCATTTATATTATGACGTAGCCAAAATTTATATGCTGAGGGGGGAGGGGGTGAAGATATGG